CCCCAAAACCCCAAAACCCCAAAACCCCAAAACCCCATTTTATGGATTTTTTTCTAAATTAAAATTTCTGAGATCGAAGAAATAAAATAAAATAGTTCAATATTTAATGAGAAGAGTTGATATCATCCTAGTTGCTGTACTAATATTAGTTTCATCATCCCTGCATATTTAAATAGCAGCTTAAAATTTTTAAGGATTGATGAGAGTTAGTAGCATGGATGATTATCTACTTTAATCACAAAGCCAACTATTCGAAGATGCATAAGAGTAAAATATTACCTCTAATAAAAACGATACTTCGAAAATCTTTGATATGTAGAGTCAAAATGGTGAGAATTAATGGAATTTCACTAGATCAAGCAAAAGTAGAATAAATAAAACTAGAAGTACTTATAAATAATCTAATCAAGATAATCATCGCTCAAACATCTTAAATAATCTAGAAGAAAGATTAAATGCAGCTAATGATAAGCAAAATCTTAAAACAATCAGAGGAGGAGGATCAAGTAGATCTGCATCTTCTAAAAGCTACTCAAAAAGAGATTATGGAGGATCCAGTTACAGTAATGGCTATGCTGTTCCTATTATAATAGGAGGAGGTGGATATTATCATTCAAACAATTATTATTAAGATTCAAGCGATTCCTTATGCAAAAATCATACTTGCCAATTCTGCTGTGTGAAGGGAGTATGCCAAGATGAAGCATATTGTAAAGATATTAAAGCGTCAAAAGATTAAAAAAGTATGGATGCTGGAGAAGTTATCTTTCTCATCATTTTGTTAATTACTTGCTGTGGAAGCTGCTTTGTCCTTCATAGATATATGAGAAGACGCTAACGTCATACTGTTAAGGAACCTTTGATCCATAATTCCCTTTCGCATAGTCCCTATCATTCCCATTAGCATCATAATAAAGCTTAACCAGAGCATTAAAATCATCCAGAGCATAATTAACAATAATACTACATACCTCAAACTAACGTTAATCAAGATAGTTCACTACCTCACTAATAATAATTATATAACCCTATACTTAACTATCAATAAGTGGGGTAACTATAATTACAAGAAGGCCATATCCCTTTAGCTGATTAGCAAAACTTACAATAGTAGTAATTGCTAAACCCTCCTATAAGTTATCCCCCAAATCAGGGATATGCAAGCAATGATATCTAATCAATATATCAGCAGTCAACCTCAGAACAAATCTTGAATTTCTAGGCTTAGGAAAACTAAAAATAGTAATATTTTGTTCCTCCGACTCAATAATAGTAATATTATGTTCCTCCAACCCAATAATAGTAATACTATGTTCCTCCAACCTTGCAATAGCAAGCACCTTAATGATAAACAAAATCAGAGCCTTATTTTTCGGTTTTATTAAATATAAGGCTGAAATAATTAAACGCAAATATTTTACAGAATTTTAGCAACAATTTCATGCCGATTTATGTCTTTCGGGGTTTTGGGGTTTTGGGGGATCGGAAGAGCGTCG